AAAAAAAAAAAATTGTAAGTGCTGGCAGGAGTGTGGTGAAAGGGGAACTCTCTAACACTGCTGGTGGGAATGTAAATTGGTCCAGCCACTGTGGAGAACAATTTGGAGATTCCTCAAAAATCTACAAATAGAACTACCATATGATCCAGCAATCCCACTCCTTGGTATCTACCCAAAGGACAGAAGAATTCTTAATTGGAAAAGTGCTTGCACATTGATCTTTATTGCGACACTATTCACAATTGCTAAGACTTGGAACCAACCCAAATACCCATGAACAGATGAATGGATTGAAAAACTGTGGCACATATACTAAATGGAATACTATTCAGTCATAAAAAAGAAGACCCTGGATTTGACAGAATGTGGAAGAATATGGAAGATTTACTGCTGAGTGAAGTTAGCCAGGCTGTGAGGGAGAGACATTGTATGTCCCCACTTAATATATACCGAGTGTCCACACTCTATGACTGAAACAGATTGACTAAAGGATATAGAAACACAGTAAATGGATGTGAATACCAGATATAATGTGTGTGCAAGAGAAGGGTCTGAGGAAGGGCATTTAGAAGAAAAATAGAGAGGCAAAGCATTAATGGGATAAATAAATGTGGTCTTATCTGTTGAAGATGATTTTATAGTTTTATCAACTGGACTAGGGAGAAATGTTCACATGTTGAAATATTCACTTTATAAGCTAAATAACATGATTGAATGTATAAAAGAAAATGAAATAAAAAATTAAAATAAATGTTGATAACACATAATCTAAAATGGAACTTTTTTCATATGTAAAATTATAACATTTTCCCACTGGTTTCTACTATTTAGTACTAGAACCACTCTTTTGTGTTATTTTGTTCCTAAAAAACACTTACATGTACCATTGCTAGCTGTCCAGTTTCACCACATGGGTATTCATCTGTCACTCAAGTTTATCAAATAATCTTTGTAGATTTTGATTCTTTCAAACAACAAAGGCCATATTCTTTCCAGCATGAAGATTTTTTATGTATGAGGCCTCCTAATGTCTGCTTGTAAGTTCTAGTCCACATAGAAGCATTATTTTTTTCTTTAAAAGCAATTTATAAAAATATGTCTAAACCAGTAATAATTTCTCTTTGCTAAGAGAGTTAGCAATATTGTACATATTTTTCCTGATCTGAGTGGTAAAGAGAATTAAGTGTTTTATTTGTTTGTTTATTTATTTTTTATTTTTGCCAGAGGGTAAGAGTGCTTGTTGGAGAGACACAGAGAAGGAAACTAAGAAAGCACCCCTCCATGAGACATGGCCATGCTGCAATCCCTTATCCCCCACCTTTCCATCTTTTCGGAATCAGGGCACACATGCACAGGTGCCCAGTATGTTTTGCAAGCTGCCGGGTCCAGTACTTAAGACTACACAGTCATGTGTGAGACCCAGCCACCTCAACTACCATGTCACGAGCTTGCCTAAGAATTAGTTTACTTTAATAATTTGCTTAATTCAACTAAATTTAGCAATATACAAATGAAACACTTTTCAGACCCTATAGATAAAGTAAGTCACTGAAGGTGGAATATTTCATAATATTCTACAGAGATATTTTGTTCCAAAAGGGATTAAGAAACAAATTCCATGACCTACACAAACTTACCACATAAACTTAATTGAACTTAATATTCTAAGCAGTTTATCTCACATATAAAAGAGAAATGACCCTCAAATGCAAGATCAGGGTTAATCTGTACAATGAATTTAAAAAATCAGATTTTTGGCATTTATGAAATTCACCATACTCAAATCCTTTTCCTTTTCACTGCCTCAGAGAGTAATAAGATTTCCAAAATTTTTATGATCAAATAGAATGCAAGAGAGTGTATCTTTTATGTATTTTCACTTCTTTTTTTAAAAAAAAATTGAGATAAGGAGAATACATTCTACTGATTCTATAGTTTTGAGAGAAGAAAAGAAGAGAGATTACACAGTTAGAGCTGAAGAAGTATAATACCAAAAGAGGCAAAGTTAAAAAAAGTTTAGACTTAGTTAGGAAAACTGATCATGCCTATAATGCCAGATTATTGCCTTAAATCAACAAACAAGTGTTAATCATATTCTTCAGTCACAACCCTGTGAGATGCTGAGATACACAAAGACTTGCACTCATAGACTCTCTTCTCAAGAAACACACTGACTAAAAGGAAATATAAATATGATATGGTGTCATGCTGACAGTGTTAAAGGTATTTGCATGACCCAGCTATGAAATTATCAATAATTCCTACTGGAATTTTGAAGGAAGACTTCATAAAAATGAAAACATCCAGGGTATACTGTGAAAGGCCCTACATAAAAGAATAAAATACTTGGCTTATTCAGAATGGCAAGCTTCCTAGCAAATTATTTTGGTAGCAGTATCTAGAATGTTTAACAGGGTGAATAGTTTAGAGCTGGAGAGACAAGCTAAGAATCTAAAGCAACCATCTAGGCAAGGAAAGAAGAAATAATAAATTCACATACACTAATGGAATATTGATAGAATTGGTAAGTCTTCATATAATAACAGACCAGGTGAGTGATGGAGTAATGGTGCTGCTAATTGAGATACGGAATTAAGTAAATTACACAGTGAAATCTAGTTTTGTCAGGGTAACTAACAGGATGACTTTTGTAATCCTGTTGACCATGAATAGCCTATAGATCAGCCCATTGACAAAATCTGAAGGAAGTGAATTTATGGCTTTAAAACTAAAGAGAGGGGGACCAGCAGTTAGCGTAGTGGCTATGTCGCTGGGCTCCCACGTAGTCGACTGCGGTCGCATCCCAGACCCGGTGGCTTAAAACTCACACCGGGCGCATGTGTGTGCATGCCCAAGATCCCAAGAGGAGAATGGAGGAGAAGGGATTGCGGCGTGACCATCCCCCCTGGGGAGTGATTTCTCGCTTTCTGTCTCTATGTCTCTGTCTGGCAAGCGCACGTGCCCTATAGCAAAAATCTCTCAAAAAAATAAAAAAAAAACCTAAAGAGAGGACTCAGGGCTGGACTTGCACCTGAAAACATGAAAGGAAATTAGATTACTTCTTGGGTGTATGAAGACATATA